ATCTCAAGGGCTTTTCAAGGTTGTAATGTCGCATGGTTAACAAACAAGTGATAAGTTCTAAAGCTAATCGAAACAAAAACTTGCCTAAACCTAAGGGAGTAATTACTTCCACAAAGTTTCAAACAATAGAATTTCAATTAAAATTCTTCTTCATCACAAGTTTCACACTAACACACATCACTTATTAACACAACATTATTCCATACTCTTTTTTGTTTTTCTTTTTTCAATGATTTTTCAATTTTTCTCTTTCTTTTTCTATCTTTTCTATTTCACTTTTTTTCTTCTTTTCTTTTTCTTTTCTTTTCTTTTTCAACCTCATAGCAATCACAACATAAGCACATAAGCATTCATCTCCCCAACTTGAATTCAACCATCATCATAATGTGAATACTCCCTACTTTCTAAGGCAAGGTAAAAATTCAACTATAAATCATAGTTAAGGGTTCAAGAAAACAAGGAATCAATATCAATACAAAAAGGGAAACTAAACACTCATAGATAAGTATTTGGCAAATACAACATGGATATCGATAAAAAGCTCAAAGGGGTCACTAATGATCACACACTCACAAGGTGAATTGACTATTTGGATAGGTAGTTTTACTCAAAATGGAACAAAAAATACATTGATCACTTTCTTGCATTCATACAATCAACACAAAACAAAAGATTAAGCATAATAAAATCCAGTTAAAACAAGAATTGTGGCCTCCAGCATATGTGAACAATGGAAAGCTACCTCACAAAAATGATGGAAACTAAAGTGATTCATAAATGAACAAGTACACAAAAGAATAAATGGCATAAAAATTGTAAAAAGTTTTAGTATCATGAATATTCTAAAGTATAGAAACCGATAAACACATACCTCAAACGTGTACAAAACTTTAACAAAATCATTACCACGCATTTGCAAGTCAAAACGATCAAACTTGATAAATCATCTCAATATTCTACAAGTTACTGGATCAAAACTTGAGTCCAAACAACAACAAAAGAATTAGAAAAATAATACTCCTACAAAATTTCAATGTACAAAATTTACAATATATACAATAAAGAAAACTCCTCAAGCTAAATACAGCAAGCTTTCAGAAAACACAAATTGACATACCAAAACAAATACAAATAACAATATGAAAACCGGGTGAAAATGAATTAACAAGTTGAAAAGTGAAGATTTGAAATTCAGAACATTTCCTTGTTTCAACTTGTTAAAGCACAAATCACCATACACATAAACAAATACAAACAAACATGCTTGTTTTACGTTGTAAGCTCGACGCCTTTATTGTGCGAGCTAGTAACCTCCTCTCATCATGCCATGGTATTATCATACCGCACAAACCAAAAGAAAGTGTCCTAACAATCACATAACAAACGCTACGAAAATGAGATGATTCACAATAATACGTGAAAACACATATATGCACAAATATCATATACAAGTTAATGTACAATTTATATACAGCATATACATTAATTACAAAATTCAAAAACAAAAGAACTTTCGCAACGCAAAATCAATGGAACCAATCCCCGACAACGGTGTCATTTTGTTGGAAGCGGTATAGCGACAAACAACAAAAGTTTTAGAAATATTTATCCGGGAATTTATCGTATCCATAGAGATTGGTTATTGAATTTCCGTTCGATAAATTCTCGCGTTTATGAGTTTGGTTTTAAATGAGTTTGTTTGTAAGGAAAGGGTAAAAACTATTGACAAGAAAATAAATACATTAAATAGAAAGGAGAAACCTAACAGGCAGGAATTTATACTACTCGTCACAAACTTAAACCTATTGATCAATTGCACTCAACATACTGTACTCATCAAAATCATCACGGACACCATGATATGTACCCACAATGAAGGTTATGTCTAACGCCAAGTCACGAGACCAACCGTATTACTCTATCGGCAATGTCTTACGCGCTACAACAACACAGAGACATTAAGCTTTAGCACCCAAAGTGAATATTAGCTCTAAATCTATCTCTAGAATCTAGAAACTAATAGATATCCATCCTTAATCAAGATTTGTGAGGTATATGTCTATAACAACCCAAATCTAAACATAAAGCAAAAAGATCAAAGAAGACATCAAGATTGATTGTAAAGCAAGCTTTATACGACATCATGATCAACAAATATACATATTTTCAAAGTAAATATACAAACATATCTAACAAATAGAGAAATAAATAGAGAAGAAATGTAGAAAAATCAAATATCTCATGGATTGTCAGCGTCAATTGATGAGAAATTTGACTCCGGATCATCAAGATGCACCAATGTTATTTTATAGTGTCTCAAAACCAAAAATGGAGGTTTGATGAATTGGGACCAAAAATATATAAAATATAACCTAAAAAATGTGTTTTGACCCTAAATTCGCATTTCTGACTGTCCAGGATCGCCCGACGACCAAAAATCATCGCCCGACGACAACTGGCAGTAAGTTGAAAAACCAACAAAGCATTCTGCACTATTTCGGCCATAACTTTTGAACCGTGACTCCGATTCACGCCCGGTTTGAAGCGTTGGAAAGCATATTCAATGATATTTATAAAAATGAAAAAATATAAACCAAATTGATAATTTTTTATTCTTTGATTTTGAGCCTTATTCATTGACGAGTTGATCAAAATCGCGCATTTGAAGTCGTGTCTTCGACACTTTATTGCTCATGCTCCAAATACGCATCAATACCTTCAAAATGAATGGAAAAACATCAAACAGTATCCTATGTACACAAAAACACAAATAAACATAAACTAAATGTATTTACACAAAATTCAGGTTTATTCAACGATATTAACAATAAAAAGTCGATAAGTGCAACAAAAAGTATATACAAAAATAGCTACAATTTACACTTATCATCCGCACTTTACTTTTCCTTCTATATTTTATAATGCTAGTAACTAGGGTTTGTATCGCAAGATTAAAAATAATCGTAGCAAAACCCTAATTTTCAAGACTAAATAACTGAAACTAACACACTTTGCACACTCGCATCTTTAGGGTAACCTATCTTTGTTTCCTTCAGAAACATGGTCATGTCCCTCGAAAGCAGGGATACTTTAGCAAAAGTCCCCTCAAATAAAGATCATAGTCCCTTGATGACCATTCGATTTTGCTTACAAAAAATGATCTAGTCCCTCCGATAAATTACTAAAGTATCTCTAGATGTTGCCTTCGATGACCATACGATGATCTTACGCATGTCCCTTCACATCCAATAGATAGGGCTACCTACCAACTAATGGTATGGATAGTACTATCTCCAAAAGAGAAGGAAAATAACAAGAAAGACCTTTAGTGGGTAAGAACTCCTAATTGCTTGCTCACAACTTTTATCACAAACAAAATATTTTTCACACATCACTTTCAACAACAAATATTTTCAAAAACACTTTGTACGCGTTCTTGAGGACTGATACAAGAACCATTACAAAATTAGCCGTACTTTGGCTTTTCAAAATATTTTCAAATAAATCACACACAAAGCAAGTTTTTAAAAGTGAGCTAGCAATTAAGAGCTCGTATATAACTACGGATAAAAAGGGTGTTAACACCTTCCCTTTTCATAACTTACCCCCTGAACTCAAAATCTATCAATGTCTTTCCTGTTCTTTTCACTCTTTCCTTATTGGATAAAAGAAAAGTCGGTGGCGACTCTAACTATTCGCACATTTTAGATAAAACCAAAAGTCAGTTCTCCCTTAACTATACCTTATGTTCAGATTAGTCCTTTAATTTTTTTTCGTGTCACTTTAGTCTCTTAACTTTCAAAACGTTTTATTTTAGTTTTTTTTATCTAATTAGCAATGAAATGTTAAGGGATCAAAATGAGTATTTTACCTTATTTATTGTTTCAAAATTTAATACATTACTATTTTTTTACATTTGTTCTAGAAGAACTTCTCATAAAAAAATCTTAAATATTTATTACAAAAAGAAATACATAGTATAAAATACTAAATATTATAGAACAATGACAAATACTTCTATAAAAAATAATAAAGTTCATCAATTTTAATGACATATATAAATTATATTAAAACAATAAATAAAATGCAACACAGTTGTTGTTTTTTTTATATTATTTATTTATATTATTTTGTATTCTCTAGATAAAATCTAGGTTAAATTATAGTTTTGGTTTCTCGATTTTATTTAATTCATAAAATTATTTTTTATATTTTAAATTTAAATAATTTTAATTTCTCTCATATTTTTTCATATAACGAGATATTCATTTTTAAACTTATATTTATATATATATATATATATATATATATATATATATATATATATATATATATATATATATATATATATATATATATATATATATATATATATATATATATATATATATATATATATATATATAAAATTTGTCATGTTTCATAAGAAGTTGTTCTTTAAAAAATAGATATATTATTAATTTTAAGTGTAAAAATATGAGAGGAGTAAAAACTGTTTTAAATCACTTTTATGAATAAAGAAAAATAGGAGGCAAAATTGTAATTTAGCTGAAAACTGAGACTTAGTCGAAAAAAAATTAAAATCAAGATCCTACAACATTTGAAACAAATTAAAAATTTATAATGAAACATATGTTTAAAATTTTTTGTTGAATCATAAATCTAATTAAAATGATATAACTAATAAAAACACTAAAATAAGAAAAATATTCTTCATAATACTTATAATTTTTATTCTTACATGATTGATTATCTTTTTCCTTTCTCTGCAATTTTAGAAATTCAATGCACAAAGACTTTATTCATTACTCATTCTATTTTTTTTTTTTAAGTTATTGATTTATAAATATCATCAAATTATTTATAACAACACAATATATAAAAAATGCTTTTAACCAAAATTAAATTCAAATCAATAACTTGCATTCATTTAACCCACAAACATAGTTTGCTTATTACTACAAATTTATAAACTAACACATTAATTTTCTCCTTTATTTTTACGCAGCTTGGTTTTTAATTCCAATAACTGGTTCCTTTGCAAGAAGTATCATAGATTGTGATATATCAAAATCACAAATACGTGATTTCACTATATCCTTAAACTCAACAAACCGATCTTTCAATTCCTTGAGTTGAGTGAAATTCTCCGCTTTATATTTGTTTAGGATCTCATCATGGACCTTAGCTTCATTTTCAGTCACATTTATCTGTGCCTGCAAATCATCAAGTTGTTGATTCAGATCCTCCATGGTAGAAGAGTTTTCTAGAACATCACTTGGATTGAATTCTTTTTGAAAATACTTGGATGCAATAGCATCAACACTTGGGTGCCCAAAAGAATAAGGCTTATTCCCAGGCGAGAGCACAACAATAGCAACTTGTGCACCGCATAAGACAGCAAGTTCGCTTGCTTTTTTGAATAATCCTGTTCGACGTTTCGAAAACGTGACTTGTCTTGCAGCTGAGTCTTTAATTCTGGCAATCTCAATTTTGGGACGACCCATAATTTTCTACTCACTCCACACTATTTACTATTAAAAAGAGAGAGAAAATAAAAGGTTATTACTATTAAAGATTATGGCTATATTTGATCCTCTATACCCCTATTTATATTCATAAAAAGATAGAGAGATTCATTGTTTCTAATGTTGTATTAGAATATATTTTTTTATTAATAATTTTTTAAAAAGTTATCAAAGTTTTATATTTTATTATTTCTCAAATATTTTATTAAATAATAAATGTTTTTGGATTTTAAATATATTAAATTTTTTATTTCGATTGTGCTCATAAGAAGTATATGACTTTTTTTTCTTTCAAATAAACAATAGTAGGAATTTTCTTACAAAGCTAATATTAAATGTAATTAAAAATAATAAATATAAACTTAATTTATCCATAAGACATATATTATTATATCGGTTTAATTCATACATCAATAGAGTTAGTATTTTTTACATTAATGTGTTACAATTTCCGATCAGATTTTTTTTGACTAATCAAAACTATATATATATATATATATATATATATATATATATATACTATATATATATATATATATATATATATATATATATATATATATATATATATATATATATATATATATATATATATAAGGTTCTTATAAAGTAGGTCATAAATTTTTAGTCACTCCACTCTATTTACTATTAAAAAGAGATAGAAAATAAAAGGTTATTATTACTAAAGATTGTGGCTGGCTCTATTTGATCCATCTATACCTCTATTTATATTCATAGAAAGAGAGAGATTCATTGTTTGTAATATTGTATTAAAATATATTTTTTTAATTAATTTTTTTTATATAATTATCAAAGTTTTATATTTTTATTATTTCTCAAATGTTTTATTAAATAATAAATGTTTTTGGATTTTAAATATACTAAAAAATTTATTTCCATTGTGCTTATAAGAAGTGTATGACTTTTTTTTTTAAATAAAAAATAGTAGGAATTTTCTTACAAAGCTAATATTAAATGTAATTAAAAATAATAAATATATACTTAATTTATCCATAAGACGTATATTATTACATCGGTTTAATTCATACATTAATAGAGTTAGTATTTTTTTACATTAATGTATCACAATTTCCAATCAGATTTTCTTTTACTATTCAAAACAACTTTTAAAGTTATATATATATATATATATATATATATATATATATATATATATATATATATATATATATATATATATATATATTATATATATATATATATATATATATATATATATATATATATATATATATATATATATATATATATATATATATATATAATATATATATATATATATATAATTGTATTAAAATATATTTTTTTATTAACAATTTTTTTATAAAATTATCAAATTTTTATATTTTAATATTTCTCAAATATTTTATTAAATAATAAATGTTTTGGGATTTTAGTTATATGAAATTTTTTATTTCGATTGTGCTCATAAGAAGTGTATGATTTTTTTTCAAATAAACAATAGCCGGAATTTCTTACAAAGCTAATATTAAATGTAATTAAAAATAATAAATATAAACCTAATTATCCATAAGACGTATATTATTATATCGGTTTAATTCATACATTAATAGAGTAAGTATTTCTTACATTAATGTGTCACAAATTTCAATCCGATTTTTTTTGAATATATATATATATATATATATATATATATATATATATATATATATATATATATATATATATATATATATATATATATATATATATATATATATATATATATATATATATATATATATATAGTAAAGAAAGATAAATTTCACATTTATTAAGAAAGACTATTGAGTGTATTTATTTATTTATTTCATGAAAGAGATATAACATAATTACCATTATACCCTCAATTAAATTGTCATCCACTAACAATACTCAGTCAGTTTCAAATTATTTGTCACATTTGGTCATTTCACACGGATTAAAAAACAGTAATAAATGAAGTGATAGAATAATAATTTTGACAAATTATCCTAATTAACTATTGATGTATTCAAATTTGTTAAGTGATAAAACAATAAATTAAAAGTATTTATTAGATAATATAATTATAAGATTAAATATAAAATTGCATTGGTAATCTTAAGTGACAAGTATTTTCGGATAATTTTTTTTCTTAAATGTGACAAATATTTTGGACGGAGGGAGTATTAAGTGATTAGTGTAGGGATAATTTTGTAATACAAGCCCTAAATACACATAGATTTGTGGATATATATATATATATATATATATATATATATATATATATATATATATATATATATATATATATATATATATATATATATATATATATAACTTCATCGATGTTGGTCGAGAGAAGTCGGAGTGAAGTAATGTGTTTCACGTTTTTGGATTGCTTGCATTCCTCCTAAAGAGTGAGGTTCTTATATATTGCTTGTTAATTAAGGAATTTATCTATATGTTTAAGACCATGATTGTAGTTTATTATCTTGTTCCCTAATGTTCATGCAACAAATTATTACTGTTAAATATTTTAATAATGATCTTTAAGGACGTTGTCTGGTGTACCCAAGTCATAGAGGACTGAAATTCAACTTTGATAGGGGCGACTTCGAAGGGACTATTTTGGGCGTCTTTGGTATGAAACCTTGATGAGGTCCCTGTTTTAACAAGGACCGGGGCGGGTTTTCCTTGATGCGAGTGATCCTTCTTGGCTCGGTCAAGGTTTCTTTGCAAGTACATAGCCCCCAAAGCGCGATACGTGTAGGGGCGAAACAATGGTGCAAGAAATATAAGAAAGAGGAGTTTGAGTTAGGTTACAACAAATATAATCTTTTTGCAACTCAAACACAAAGCTTAAAAAGTGAATAAAAATAAATGAACATAATTATTTTTATCTTGGTTCACTGTTAACTAAGTTATTTCAGTCCATCCTGGAAGGTGATTTGCCTTATCCACAAGAACTTAATCCACTATTATCAACTTATTACAGACAACCACAATAAGTCTGATCAACCTTGTTGACAATCCCAACAAGTCCATCGATCCTTGTTGCCAATCCATGATGACTGCAACCAAAGTCTTCTTGAGAATCCTGACTCACTGAGTCTTTTAAGGAATCTATCAATGACCGTTGATTTACAAAGATGTGTATACAAAGATGCTTCTAAACAAGCAGATTACACAATGTTTAAGTACAACAACACAAAAGTGTTAAAATCAAGATACGAACAAAAGCTCCTTGCTTATTTACAAAACTATACAAAAAATATCTCAAAAGAGTTTGTACAGCGCTTTAGCATAGTTTTGTTGAGCTGATTCGTTGATTTCAAATTCTTCCAAGTCTTCCTTTTATAGCTGAAAAAAAGATTCGTTGGAGGGTAGAATAGGAAACACAAAACCATTTGTTTTGTTTCCAACGGTCATGGTGGAAATGGTAGACAACAAGTACAAAAAGGCCTTTCCTTACGCCACCCTATTAGAGTAGAGGTCATAATGTACTTTTGTACTTTTATACTCACCATCACACGCAATCCTTTGTCTTGATCTTTATTTTCTATATCTTCAGAGGCTTCTAATTTGTATGTTGATGAAGCATGTTGTAGAAGGATCAGAACTTGCATCTTCACAACCTAAGTCTTTGAGTCTTTAGAATTTGTTTAGAGAACCCTTGTCTTCAGAGTCTTCAAAACTTGATCTTTAGAAGAATGTCTTTAGGTTTTCATAACTTGCTCAGCAAAACCTTGTCTTCAACATCTTCAGAACTTGGAACAACATAAATAAAGCTTTGGAAGACCTCCAAAGCTTCCTTGCAAAGTCACAATCAAAATCTCTTATACTAACGTTCCTTAGAACCGTTGCATAAGAAGCATTCTAGAATCTTGACTTAACTTGTAACACACTAAAGGTATTCTTCCATAATGTTGATTTCAAAACTTGATGACGTCACACGTTGTAATACATTAGGAGAACTGACTTTACTGGTTTTGAATTTTATCGCAAATGTTGTGGTTAGCAAGAGTCATCACCGACTTTTCTTTTATCCAACAAATGAAATGGTGAAAAGAATAAGAAAGACATTCTTAAAGATTTTGAGTTTGTGGGGTAGGTTATGGAAAGGGAAGGTGTTAGCACCCTTTCCATCTGTAGTTATATACGAGCTCTTAGTTTCTAGCTCACTTTAAAAATGATTTTTGGTGTAAGTGCATTTGAAAATATTTTTGAAAAGATTCCTTAATGCGGAAAACTTTTTAATGATTCTCGTATCGTTGAGAATTCATACAAAGTGTTTTTGTCTTTGAAAAATATTTAGAAAAGAGAGTGCGTATGTGAGAAATTTGTTTTTTGTTTTGTTTTATGAGCAAGCAACTACAAGCTTTCTACCTATTCGAATGATCTTTGTTCTTTTCCTTATTTCCTTTAGATAGTGCTATCCTACCATTATTCGGTAGGTATCCCTATCATTGGATGTTTTGAGGGACGAGCGAGGGTCATCGTACAGTCATAAAGGCAACTCGTAGGGCACTTTAGCAATTTTATCGTAAGAGACTAGATCGTTTACCGAAGGCAACATCGAAGGGTCTTCGAGGGACTACGATCTTTTTACCGAGGGTCTTTTCTAAAGCGTCCCACGTTCGAGGGACATGACTGTTTTTCCGAAGGCAACAAATGGAGGTACCTTAGAGGTGTGTGTAACACCCCAATTCTACCCGATAATTATTATAAAAATCAGAGTTACAAAATTTATGACAACCGAATTAGGATGCTACAATTACAACTTAAAACAACGGCATTATACATAACACATTAAAATGGAATGAACCAACGACAACATGAATTAATCTTTTAAAACCAGCAACTTCCATAACTACGTAGCAAGAATGAAATATTCAACTGAAACAACTTCAAATAACAAGTATTTAACGAACATCAACTTAAAGTTCAATCAACTGAAATAATAACAATAATAAAACAACAAGCGTTCATTTCCT